CTGCAGCGGGGAGGAGGGGGAGGCTGCCAAAAGCTCAGTGCAAATGGGGACAGCACGTGCCATAAGCTGCGCGGTGGACAGGCTAATTCCCAGTCCTGTCACTGCCACCCTGTCCCTCTTTGACACTGACTTACCCTTTTTCACGCTGTCCTCGTAGGGCTGTAGGGGATCACAGCAGGGAGTTAACGTCCTGCTCCCCGTGTTTTCTGAGCAGGCCCAGACACCTGTAAGCAGGCTGGGCTGGCAGCTGGCCTCTCGAGGACCCTTCTGTTCTCTGTGGGAGCCCGTTCGCTGCTCCTCTGTCTCATCACGTCTTGGCCGATGCGGTGGGAAACCCAGGCGCCGGCAGTAGCTCCCCTCACAGTGCTGCCTCCTCTCGCCACCAGCCTGCTGAAGGTCCACCTGCAGCTGCACGGCTTCAGCGTGTTCATCGATGTGGAGAAGCTGGAGGCAGGGAAGTTTGAGGACAAGCTGATCCAGAGCGTCATGAGTGCCCGCAATTTTGTGCTGGTCCTCTCGCCAAATGCACTGGATAAATGCATGGGAGACCCTGAGTGCAAGGACTGGGTGCACAAGGTAGGAGATGCCATCAGGTGAGAGCTTGGTGGATGCTGGAGCGGGAAGGAGCTGGTGATGGGCTGACACGGGCCATAGCCTGAGCGCTTGCATGTTCCTGCAGGAGATTGTGACAGCCCTGAACTCTGGAAAGAACATTATACCTGTTACAGACCATTTTGAGTGGCCGGACCCAGAAACACTTCCCAAGGACATGAGGGCTGTCCTGAAATTTAATGGTATCAAGTAAGTAAAAGGAACGTGTGCCATGGGGTTCCTTGACACCTGGGGAGAACAGCTTGCATAAGCAGTAGCAAAGAGCAAAAGGAAATTGGGAGAAACAGATGAGGGAGGCAGAACAGGCCAAAGGGGACGTGAGTCACTTCAGGTACTCCAGAGCACGAAGGGAGCAAAGGTCCCCACCATAACCCTTCTGCTGGTTTTGTGCTTGGGGCTCTTCTGGCTAACAGAGCTCCCCACCCCGTCGCCGCTGGGAGGACGCCCAGCCTCGTGCCCCCAGCCCTCCAGGCAGGAGCGGTGCTGGCAGGTTTCGCAGCTCGCCTGGGTTCCTCTCGCCTCCCGCTTCCCCTTCGTGCAGCAGCGCTCCAGGCTGACACCCCAACCTGCTCGTAGCCCTCCAGCCTGGCAGGGCGCAGGGGAAGGGGCTTTCCTGCGGCATCCAGTGTTCCTCCATTTTCCATGGGGAAAAGGGTGCTCCTAGAGAGATGGGTTGGAGAAAGGGGGTCTCTGGCTCCTGACCCGAACACACTGAGCTATCTCATGGCACCTTGCACGATGGAAAAATTAACTCAGATTTCCCCCTCGAACGCAGGTGGTCCCACGAGTACCAGGAGGCCACAATCGACAAAATCATCCGCTTTCTCCAAGGCCGTTCCTCCCGGGACTCCTCGGCTGGGTCGGAGAACGGCCTGGACTGCTTGTCCTCCCCAGGGCAGACCTAGAACAGCGCAGCTGCCTCATCCCCTCCAGAGACTTCCCAGGTGACCCCTTTTTATGTGGGACCAAATTTCTCCCTCTAGATTTTTCCCCATCTTAGTACCTTGGCTTGAGACGAGGCCTTGGCTCATTAGCCCCCCTTCACCCTCCAAATGCAAGCCCCTGGCGCTAAAAGGCCAGCACTTACTTGTACGGTGCCCGGTGAGCCAAGCCAGGGCGGACTCCGGGATGGACGAGTTGTCTTCCACATCCTCCCTCGGGGTGGCAGGACATGCAGGCTACGCCTCCTGCAATGCAGGGCGTGCAAGGGAGACCAACACTGTCCAGACGCCCGCAAATGGCTGCAGCTTCCCCCAGAAGCATGTCCAAAGAGGAGGGATCTTCTGAGGACCGAAAGCTGGCGGATTGGTGAGGGGTACGTTGCAAGAGGACACGTGAGAGAGAAGAGCAGTTGAGAGGGAACGGTCCATAAACATCGTATGGGCCTCTGCTGGGTGGCGCCGGAATATCGCTGCGGTCAGAAGCTGAGAGCAGGAAAGGGCAAATAAAAGCTAAGCCCTAACGAAATCCCCGTGTTTGGGAAAGATAACACACAGAGGCCTTCTAAACTGCTCAGCAGCAGCTTTCTCTTTCCCAGTAATGTCCCTTTATCACATGAGCTCGCTCCCTCCTAGAGGGCCTTTCACCTCCTAATGCTGCAAAACCACTTTGTGCTCTTAACTCTGGCGATAGAAGTTTGGGTTTAGATCATGTGACGTTTCTGCAGGATCTTTGCAAAAAGTGCTTTTAAAACAACCCCCTTCCCTCCATCCGATGTCTCAGCTTTACCGCTTTATCAGGGCTGTACTTACAGGGGACGGGAGGCTGGATTGTGACTCTGGAAAACATACACCCATGCAGATATGGAAGATGCTAATTGCTGCACCGTACTTGCAGAGATGTCGTGCACTGGCTGTACTTTATTCTGTTGTTGGTGCTCCACAGCAGGTCTCCTGTGGTCTGTTCCTTCAAACAGGAGCTGGCGTTATCTCTTTGTTGACTAGCACTCACCCCTGACAGCCCTGGCTAAGCTCCTCAGGCTCAGGGCTGTCCCTACTCCCTGCTGGATGCAATACCAAGCAGCATTTGTTTCTTTCTACCGACCTCTTCTCAAGACCCACCAGGTCTTTTTGTAGCTACTCACCTTGAAATACCAAGAAAGGGCAAAGTCGATGCCAAGGGCAGGTGGAGGCTGCTAGGTGCGAGCACCGGCTGGGAGCAGGACTGGCAGCACCGGCTGCTAACGCTGCAGGCCAGGAACCACAGGCACCCCGACACACCTCCCCCGAATTCTGCACTCCCAGCCTTGTCCTGCTTCCCACACCTGCCTGGAGCGTGAGCGGGCTCTCAACAACATGCCATTTTGCAATTAGGACCAGAAGTTGCAGCTCCTACGTGGGCTTGTCTGTTTTGATGCAAAGTGACTAATGCAAAAAGACATCCTTGTTCAGAGGACAGACAGGAGGAAGAGCAAGCCATGCCCAGGGAACACCAGCCTGCCCCGACGGTCTGGAGACCGGGCTGATGTGCCACCCTGCAGAAGAAGCCAGCTCTTTTGCCTGTCCCTGCTCAAGATAACTCAACCCTTTCAGGAGGTAATGAGGAGACTCAGCCACCTCGTCCTTCTCCTGGCTCTCCCCGAAGCCTCGCTGCCTGCCTTAACTGGCAGGAACCCAAACACATTTCCTTTTGGCTTAGATCCATGAACATTTAAGGGGAAAAAAAAAGAAAAGTTAAATTCTGGTGCTTAACCACAGCTTTATGGATAGTTCTTATCAGCTCACAGTTAATGGCATCTTTGCTCTCCAGTAAAAGGTTAATAGCTATATCTACCTAGCATTTATCAGAAACAGAATCTATCTAATCTCCAGATTAAATACGAGGAAGCCAGCAGATGAGCCCAAAGGTGATTCTGCCAAAGAATAAAAGCCACTTGTGAGCTGCTTCAGGGAAAAGTCTTGAGTAACTGATCGAATGTCAAGGCCTCCATGGCCACTGAAGGAGTCCCACACAAACAGTCCTAAGGATTTTTCTCCCGACAATAATACACAGTAAGATTATTGCGTCGTTTCCCAGAGGCTCTCTAGCAATTAACCTCCTCACCCTCCATTCAATGTAGAGATTTACTTGTTCTCTGCAGCTTAGGTGTCTCACCTGCAATGAGATCCATCTCATGCTCCAGCTGCCCAGACTGTGACTCTTCCCATCTCCCCATCATTCAGTTATCTTCACCTTAACGAACTCGCCCTGCTCTTGGCAAAACATCCCACACCCAGCCCCTTCCAGTCCGAGCAGACAGTCTCAAGGAAATGAATCCTTCTGTTCTCACCCTTCCTTATTCCTTCGCTATGTCATGTCAAAGTGTTTAAAGTTGTTCTATCAGACATTAATAAATTTGGTTTATACTCTAAATCCCCACCTCTTTTCTGTTCGTGTCACATGCTTCTCTCCCTGCAGCCTTCTCACAATTGCTCTCTCTTGCCGTCATGCTTTCTCATCCTCTGAAGGGGCAGCAGAATTGACATTCTCCAAGCACCATTCTCTGCGGGCACCCAGACTTCATGCTCATCTTTGCATGGACTGATGTTGCTCACTGCATCCCCAGGGACTCTCTACCTGCTGCCCACAGTCACGATGCAACGATCATGTATTTGCTTCACGGTTGTAGTTCTTGGAGGACAGCCCAGAAAAACTTTGTTGGTTTTTTTAATAGAGCATAATAGTTCCTATTGAATTTCTCCTTTGCAAGCACACTGACACAAACAGGAAAGCAGAGCCAGTACACAAGTTTCACTTCACTGCACAGCACTGAGCAGCTGCTAGCATTGGCGTCCATGGAGTCTGTTGGTAGAGGCGGCTTACTTCACAATCAGTTCAGCTACGAACAGCTAACGCAACACTCACAGCATGCCCTGTTCCTCAGGGAGGCTAATTCTGGGCTTAGCCTGGCAATCGGACACGTTAACTCCTGCCTATGTCCACTGGCCTAACTACATAGATCAAGTGGCATAACAGCAAGTTCTTAAAGCCTCCCTACTTCTCCACCTCCTGCTTCTCTACTCCCCAATTCTCCTGCTTTTATCACAAACTCCTAACGAACAGGGAACAAAGCTGTATATAAGCATTTCACATTTACTGCATATTGAAGGGCAGGTTACAGACTAAGCACTCCTGCTAGCTTTACTCCGGTGTCCAGGAAAAGCAAGCTCTGGCTGCTTGCAAGTCCCAAATCTGCATTCTTCCTGACTCGGAACTCTCGCACGCTCATTCTCCACAAGGCAGATAACTTCCTGCTGCTGCTTCTCTACTGCAGTCTTCAATAAAGGAAGAAGCATGAAAATAACGGAGAGAAGCACAGAACGAGGCGAGGACAAATGACATCAACAGCTGTACGAGAAAAGCTAGCTTTTTATGAACCATAAAAGAGAACGGAGGTTTTATTCACTCTGAAAGTAATATGTCTGCTAAGCAATTTCTCAGTTAAGGACATTATTGCACGCATCTGAACAGTGTGTGCAATGCAATGTACACAGAACTGCTGGTTTATGGCAGTTTGAAGAAAATAGGATTGAGGCAATACAGTTAATGCTTTGAAAAGAACAATTACGAGTACCACGAATGCGCTGTTTGCTTGCTGGCATCAACAAATCCTGAGAAAGGCAGCAGAAGTGAGGTCACCGACACAAAATTTTGGGGCGTAATTTTATCTCCAAAGACACTAGTCCTGTCCCCACACCAGCTCAACCCAACAGCGCTGTGTATTGATGAGGAAGGACTGCTTCTGGCTCTGCCATAAGCACAGCAGTGACTTCACACGACACTAGGGCACGCTTATCACAGTTGGGGCCTCAAATTTCTAATGTAAGGGTCTTCAGTTAGGGAGGCCCAATTTTGTCAATTTTAGCCTTAAATTCATCAGTTTGGGCAACTGTCAATTAAGGCACCTACTTGCACCTTGGTATTCTCACACGAGCGATTACTTCCTAGAAGTACCGCTGAAATCCTGGGCCGAGCTGAGACAGACAGGCAGGGCATGCCACTGGCACTCCTCGCTACAAGCACTTCACACATCAGATTCTCTCCCTCGGACACCTCTAACTTGCGAAGCTAAAGCTAGTTTAGTCAATAAGGACGGCAATAGCACTCCTGTGGTAAACTACTACTCATCATAAGGATTTCTGCAGGAGCCTAGTCTGGCATACGACGTTTGTACGACTTTTATTGACAACACACTGATTCGGAGCGCAGATCTTTCTCCTCAGCAGCACGCTGTTGGGTACCTCTGCTTCAGTCTCGCTCTGCAGGCTTTGGTCTGGGCCTCACACACACCAACAGCTCATCTGCTGCACGCTGTAGTACTCAGAGGGGAACATGTTTGGCAATTAAAGCAGAATTCAATCCTCTAAAAGCAAGCCACAGAACCCTCCCTTCCCACCAAACCCCAAACCACTAACCGGCCTTGCAAATGGCCAACAATAGCTTTTACCCTTGATTGCCTTTTGAGTCTCTTGGGTTTTCTCTGACCAAGGAGGCATTCACATCTGCAAATCGAGTTCCTACTGGCAGTCAGAGCCATGATTTCCAACTATCTGGCATTTTAAAATCGGTAAGGACAAGCAAGGTGTCCCTCCCACACTTATCTGTCCTTCAAGGGAAGAATAAAGAGCAGTCTTCAGATGGACACCTCCAAGCGGGCCAATTCCTTGTTGCTAAGTTGCTGCTCAGCCATCTGCAGGGAACAGGGAAGTGTCTGAGAAGTGACCGTAGACATGGTTTGACTCCCAGATTTCTATCCACCTAAGAAAGAAAGAACGAACAGTTAGAGCCTACGAAGGCACACTGAGATGTTGCTGAATGAAGTTGAGTTTTAAAGTTTCAAAGGAACAGAACAAAATGACCCTGCCAGGAGCTGTTGCACTTCTACTGCAAATCTCAACACATTCTCTCTCCCAAGGCTTACCAGGGG